CAAATAAAACATTATTAAAAACTATATATTCTATATGTTATAATAGAAATATTATAAATAAATACTACATAGATATATTAAATAAACAAAAAATAATCTAAATGACAAAAACACACAACAAAATTACTAAAACTTTAAATGAAATTAAAGTGAAAACAGAAAATACTAACAAAATCTAATTCAAAATATTAACAAAAACTATAATATCAGTCATACTAAAATACCAGTGCTGTAATTGTTAATTAAAACTAAATTTTTTATTTGAAATAAAGCTGAAATAAAATATAAAGTATTATATATAAATATAAAGAATATAAATATTAGATGAAACTTAAACATATATACAAACTTAAATATTCAGTAAAACGTACATTTAAAAAATATAAAAATGTGAAATATTCCCTTGGCAACTAAGTAAAATAAGTTTATGTTGAAGTACTAAAATGAAAGCTAAATATTATTAAAGCTAATATTAAAAAAATAATAATAAAAAGGTCAAAAGCATGTAACAAAATTACGAAAGCTTAATCTAACATGAAAACTGAATATATACAGAAAATAAAAGTTAATAATACTATAATAGTATATAAATAATACATAAATAACACATGCTCAGCATAGCAAACAGTCTAGAATCATGGCAGAGCATTTTACACAGACAAACACTGCTCACATTTTCGTCGGAATTTTTTTTAAAAAAGATGTTTCATTGGTCCCTCATCTTTTTCATGCCTTTTGCATCATCCTATCTTTCTGACTCTCTCTCTTTCTCTCTCTCTCTCACACACACACACACACACACTGGCTCAGTAAAGTGCATTAGTAGAGAGGGGCAGGCAGGGTGGACCTCTCTCTAGCTGTCAGCACGTGTTAGTGTGGCCGTGTTCAATCAGACGTGCTCCTTGGCAGACAGGCCAGGGGGAGATTCAGCTGCCACGGCAAACACACACACACACACACACACACACACACACACACACACACAGACAGATCCCCTCCTCCCCATCACAAGCACCCAGCACAGCCCTCAGGGGCCACAAAGTTGCAGAATCAATATTTTCATACTGACTAAAACCTCTCAGTGGCCAGACTGCAGATGAGGAAAATCTTCGGGGCTCACGCTCTTTCGGTTCTGTTCTTTTTCCTCTCATTCTGCCTCTTTATATTCTTCCTTGTTTTCATCTCTTCATGTTGCATACTTTATCTTTTCATCTCGTTTGTGTCCGTCTTTCTGTAAAGGTCAGTTTGTTTAGAGTTCTCTCTCCTCCGCCCCCTGCCCCGTTTCTTTCTTGCACTCATTTGCTCTGTGTGTACGTAATAGCCAAAGGGGGTGTGGTTTACAAACACTAATGACCTCAGATGATTACAAATTAATTAATTAATTTATTTATTTATTTATTTAGATGCTTGTCAGTTGTTTATGAACAAATTAAATGCTAATGAGTTTTATTTATTTTTCTAGTTATTTATTTATGTATTATATTTTAAGATGTCATTATTTTAATATGTATTATGTTATTTTATTATGTTATTTAGGTGTTAATGTCATTCATTTCTTAAAATTTATTTTGTTTCTCTTCTCTTGTCTTCTGTTTTATTTGTATGTATTTATTACATTATTTTGTCATTTTAATATTTGTTATTTTTTTCATTTTAATTATGTTCATGTAATAATTTCTTTATTTATAAGGTTATCAGATGGTTATGAACAAATTAGATGCTAATGATTTCAATTCCATGAGTTTTTGTTTTTCATTTATTTATTTATTTATTAATGTATGTGTTTTATTTTAAATGTGTATTTTAAAACTGTCAGTTGCTTTTTTTCAGCTAATTAATTTTTTATTTAAACTTATTTTAAATTTCAGGTTGCAGTTACATGTGTCAGTCTTGTTTATTTTGTTTTATTATTTATAATATTGCTAAAAAAATAGTTAGGTCATGTTATTAATTTAGTTTTATTTTGTTTAGTTAGTTCTTTGACAAAACAATACAATTATTTCAGTGTATTATTCATCAATACATTTGCTAAAACATTTGATGGTGGATGTTACAACATGAACAATATTCAGCGGTTTTTCTCAGATGTTTATGAACAAATTCATCATTTAGATTTCAGTAATTAGTTCATTTTAGGAAGTCTGAGATGTTAGTAAGTTTTTTTTAACAAAAGATGCTAATGATTTCATTTACATGTGAATTAGCTCTTTTTAAGATTTATCAGATGCTTGCAAAGAAATAAGAAGTTATTAATGTTATCTCAGTTGTTAACATTATGATATTAATGCTATCTCAGTTGTATGTGAATTCTCTCTTTTAAAGATGTTTATAAATGGATAAGATGCGCACAAATATAATGCAATGCTTTCCAGATTATGGGCACATCTCAGCAACGTATGTATCCTTACTTTTTTGTGTTTGAAAAAATTAGGTGTTCGGAGAGTTATTGTTAGCTCTTGGTATTGATTTTTACCTTGTTTCATGAATGAATGCTTTGCCATAAGGTCTTATAGACAATAGTGAATGTGAAGACGTACACGAGGCCACTCTTTCTTTTCTGTGGTACGTCCACTGCACAAAGCATGTTGGGAGTCCTGTCACAACGAATCAACTCGAGCGGAATCAACCTAGCGCATGGGTCCCTTTACAAGCGGAGCCTTTACACACACACACATGCTCTTTCCATCCTCTCACCCCCCTCATCCTGGTCTTCAGCGCTTCCTTTTAATGTCATATTTCTACTGGCCGCATAACTGGGAGAAAAAAAACTGGGCTAGGAATTAAAGAGAGAAAGAGGGTGAAAAAGCTTTCTCTCTTCCCAACATGCCCCTGTGCCGACTGACCTTGTTTTACCCCCATCCTCCACTCACCTCTCTTGCTTTCTCTCCCTCCCACCAACCTATTTTTCCCCTCCCTCTGCTGCACTTCTTCTCTCTTATGTTTTGGTTTCTGCCCATTGGTGCAGATAATAAAATAAGGGTTGATACAATGCTGTAGTGGCCAGTGTGAAAGGTGATAGCTACATGTGTCTACAGTAAAACTCAAGCAGACAATGAAAACCAGAGTCTGTTCAAATTGTTAATAGGCATAACAAACCTGGTAACAATATTTGCTAGAGAGCATGTTTATTAGCCTGCATAAGATTGTGAATATAGTCAGAAATATCATGCTCATTAAAATGTAATGCCTCAGATTTGAGAGACAAATGTATTTTAAATGCAATTTCAGTAAAAAAAAAAAAGCTCTATTAAGACGTATGTTTGAAATATAGTGTTGCAGTGTTAGAAACCCATTCACACAAGTTGCACCTACAAAAACGTGTTGCTCACAACCTGCAAATGTGTTTTCCTTTTTTGAAAGAAATTAAAACTTTAAATCAGCAAGGATGCATTAATTAGGTCAAACGTTATAGTAAAGACATTTATAATGTTACAAAAGATTAAAATTTTCTGTTCACCAAAGAAAATAATATATTGTGGTTTCAACAAAAATATTAAGCAGCATGTCTGTTTTCAACATTGTTAATAAGAAATGTTTCTTGAGCAGCAAATCAGTATATTAGAATGATTTCTGAAGGATCATGTGACACTGAAGACTGGAGTAATGATGCTGAAAATTCAGCTTTACATCACAGAAATAAATTACATTTTAAAATATATTCAAATAGAAAACCGTTATTTTGAATTGTAATAATATTTCAAAATGGTTATATATTTTCAATCAGCTCAATTCAGTCTTAGTGAGCAGGAGAGACATAATTTGTATTTTTTATTTTTTTATTACCAACCCCAAACTTTTGAACAAACATTTGAAGTTTATACTGAACAATATAACCCTACAGTATGTCTTAGTAGTGATATGATTCCCTTTAATGTCTTCGGTGTTTGTTCAGGTCTCCTGCATGTTCGTCAGTTGCCGCGTCTGAACTGTTTGTCTTGTGAGGTCCCTGATACGAAGGACTTGGCCTTCAAACTCAAGAGAAAGCAGTTCACAATTGAGGTGAGTTCACAATAATGATGTCACTAGAAAATGTACAGTCGTGTCCTCTCATATGTTTCCTTTAATAATGTTGTCTTCAGTGTATTCCCTTGTCGTTTCCTCTTGCAAGCACAGCTTTTTTATCTTCTAATTTGTAGGTTCTAATAATTACAGATGGAGAGCAGTAAGAGTAGGACATGCATGTGCTAAAATTACTCATTAATTTTAATTGCTAATTTTATTTTCCTCCCTCCCCATGTCCCTGGAAGCACTGCACATATTAGGAGGTCATGATTATGAATTGATCTCCACATTAGCTGTGCTTCACTAGTTCCTGTTTATCTTCCTGAGCTATTGAGTGTCAATTTGAAAGGTTGCAACTATTGATTTTAAACTGGACATGTTACACCTCTCCTCAGAATAACCCCAGAATAAGCTTTTCTGAAGTCTCATAAATACACTAAAAGTCCTTATTGTGTATCTTTTTGTAACTGGGAATTATATAGTACTCAGACATGTCTGATCAGACATTGTTTGCATGCATTCACTTGAGGAAATGTGCCCAGGTAAATATATTGTCATAAAAATAATAGCCTATATAATAGCTAATAGCCAAAAGGATTGTTTATATTGTCCCTGTTTGAAAGGTTTTGTGTTGTGTGTAGGGTCCAAAATTATTATTTTTGCCACAAGTGAATTGTACGGGGCCACTAAAGTGACTTTTGGGAGTCTCTTTTTTGCGTGTGCGTGCGTGTGTGCGTATGTATGTGTGTGTGTGTGTGTGTGTGTATATTTGTGTGTACTGTGTACATTTATTATGAATATATAAATACACACCCATGCATGTATATATGTAAGAAAAATGTTACGTTTATATATTAAATATATTTATATATAATATAAATTATTTATATATAATATAAATTATATGAATATAAATATATACATGTAAATATTTTCAAAATATATACTGTATGTGTGTGTCTTTATATGTACAAAATAAATATACACAGTACACACACATATATTATGTAAACAAAAACTTTTATTTTGGATACGATTAATCGTTTGACAGCACTAATTTTATATATATTTTTATGTTTCTTTTACACCTTTTTTATCATGTATTTTATCATTTTAATATGTTTGTCCCTGTGACAGGAATAATTTAGCTGTTTTTTTGTGTAAAATGTATTATTGTAACTTGCATTTCTGTTTTGATGGTTTAAAGCCTACATATTTGTTGATGGAAAATTGTTGAGGTAAAAAAACCTGGTGTCATGCTAATAATAATTTGTTAACTAGTATAACCTAGTTTTATAATAAGAGATATTTTATCCTCTCTGAAAAAAAAAGTTCCAATTAACAGTTTGGCTTCTTATCTACATTTTCTTGAGGTTAAACTTTCCTCAGTTCTTCATGAATTATTGTGCATTTATTTTCAGTTTCTAGAAAAGTTTCAAAAATAGGTTTCTATTAGACGCTTGGTTGAGTGGTATTTTTGTGTTGTATGTTTACTACCATTACAAACCCTTCAGTAGACACACACAGACTCCACTTGCAGCCAGTGAGTGCCTGTCCATCAAGTGGCGACAAATGAAATGGCGACTAATTAAGTTATCAGTGGTGAAGCTGTTAATAGTTAATCAGGAAGTGTAATGTCCAGCAGTCTTTGTCTTTAAACGCTCTCTAAGGCAGACACCTTTCATCCACTCCTCACTAGATTTATAGGGTCAATAAAAGTCAAGGTGGTTTCTCTCAATGGCTGTTTAATGAGCCGACCGGTTTGAGTTTGTGGAAGGGCTCAAATGTGAGTTTGTGTTGTAGCAGTGCTAAGAATTTGTGTATATTTTTGGACAGCGGAATGTACCTTAAAAGGGTCATATGATGCGATTTCAAGTTTTCCTTTCTCTTTGGAGTGTTACAAGCTGATTGTGCATAGATAAGATCCCTGAAGTTGCAAAGACTAAAGTCTCAAAACCAAAGAGATATTCTTTATCAAAGTTAAGACTCTGCCACTTGTGTAATGCAAATACATACAAGCTTCATCACTGTGTCTGTCACACGACTCTGTTCCCCTTTCGGGCTCTGTATTTACATTTATTTTGAAAGATGAAGCTCGCGATTATGGTAAGGGGCGTTACATTTCCGACGAGTGCTTGCGGTGTTCGGCCAATCACAATGCACTGGGTCAGCTGGCCAATCAGAGCACACTGCGCTTGTCGAAAGGAGGGACTTTGTAGAAAATGAAGCGTTTGAGAGAGGCGGGGCATAGAGGACCTACAATAATGTACAGTATTTGAAAAATAATGTGTTTTTTGAACATTGAAGCATGTCAACATATTCTGTTACACCAAATACACAAAATAATGATCTTTAAAAAAGCATCATATGACCCCTTTAACATCTTAACATCTTTACATCAGATCTTTCAGCATGTTCCTTTAAAGGATAGTGTAATAGTTTGTAACTCTAATTGAAACATGGCATGGCATTAGCAACACCAAGGTCATGGGTTGGATTCCCAAGAAGTGCAAAAGCTCATAAAATGTATACCTTGTGTGCAATATAATTCGATTTGTATCTGCCAAGTGCATAAATGTAAATATCATGTCATAAAAACTAAATATGCATGGAGTATAATGGTTTAAAAGTCCTAATTGCCCAAACTAAATAATTGAGGGGCAATATTGCTTGGACAAAATATGCTTCGGCAAAAATTTTAAATTATGAAAATGTTGAATAAAAAAAAAATACATACTTAGGATTTCACCTTGTGCTATTATTTCATTTTAATATATAGCACAAGGTGAAATTTTGTGCAAACATTGAAATCAGTTGTGCTGCTTAAAAACTAGAATTTTTTTTCAGGATTCTTTAGTGACCGTAAAGTTCAAAAGAACAGCATTTTTAAGTAGAATATTATATAGAATAGTCTATATAACATTTATCATGTTGAATTTTTTTGTAGCACTGTTAAAAGTGTTTACTGTCACTTCTGAACCATTTAATGTATCCTTGCCGAATAAAAGTACACTGAAAAAAAATGAGTCATTGAATTTACAATTTTTTTTAAGGTAAGTGGTTACAATCAATTTATTTTAGCTACATTTAAATAAACAAATTTAGCTGACTAACGTTCAACTTTTTTGTTTATTTAAATGTAGCTAAAATTAATATTTTATATAATTTAGTATCATTTTTTCAGTGTATTCATTCATTTAAAAAAAAAAAATCTTACTGACCAAATTTTTTTGAAAGGTGTATTATTAATCCTAAATGTTGTAGTTTAACAGTTCAGGACAAACAAGAGACTCGTGTACAACACTGTTAATTTCGTTGACTAATAATTTTGGTCATAATTTTGGTCAAAGACATTTTTTTCACCGACAACAGCGAGACAATAACGAACTAAAACTCTTTTTGAATGACAAAAGAATATGCTTAACAAGTTGCTATAAAGAATGCATAATTAGCCATTATATATAACCATTGGAATTTCATTAAAAAGAAGACCATGTTCTTGTTCTTTATGGTTTTATTTCAGTTTTAACATAAAGGCATGTTGTGTGTCACTGCAGTTAAATTGGTGTCTAACATGATAAAACCTTAATATCAAACCTATATAATGAGTTTGGAAATTTTAGAGAAATGCTTAATAAATGCACTGTAACAATACCCATTAGATTTTAGCCGACTAAATTTACTGTAGATTTAGTCGACAAAAACTAAAAACAATTCAGATGACTAAAATATGACTAAAGCTAAATGGCATTTTAGTCAAAAGACTGACTAAAACTAAATCAAAATTAACACTGATGTAAAACTATCACAAAAAAAAAACAGCTGTGGATCATCCAGGTAACAACACAGTATTAAGAATCAAGCGTATGTAAACTTTTGAAAGGGGTCATTTTTATAAATTCAACTATTATTTACTATATGTGGACTATATAAATGTCATTCATGTGAAATATCCTATTCTGGTCAGTACTAAATAAAAAAATAGCATGCATGATCTTATGGTACGATCCCTCTTATTTTGGTAAAATAATTGATATTTTGCAGATACTGCAAAGTGTATGTAAAACTAATTCTTAATGCAATTCTGAAGTACTGTACATGCTGATGATGTGCCTTATATTCAAGGTTATGTAATAAATGTATGCGTTCACTGAGAATCGTACCCATAATATTGTCACTGACACGAACACTATACTTTATTTCACAAATGTATATGGAAAACATTATAATAAATAGAGCAATTCAAATGAGATCATATGAGAATATGTTCTTAATTGGCACTCCCACTGCGTCAGGTGTGATGATATCACAATAAGATGTGGCGAATAAGAATAAAGAAAGTGATGAAAAGATCATTAGTGAAAGGAGAGAGACTTGTTTTCATGAGGTGTTTCCCATTTGATCTTACCATCCCAATCTAGCCAATAACCTACAGACAGGCCTTTGATAAATAGTTTTACACCAACACCTTTGTCACGCACACAAACAAATGTGCCGTGCGGACTATATATAGTGGGTGAACAGAAATTCATCTCAATGAGTTTGCCCTGCGGCACTGAGTTAGCGTGCGTTTGCTTTACTTTCAAAAGTTCATATCACGTAGATTCATCTCTTGATCTTTTGACTTTGAGAACTTGATGGACTTTCAGTGCTCAGAACCTCTGAACTGACCTGAATTATGACTCAACAGGTAAAAGTGGGAAAAAATGTATGATATGACCATTTTAACACCTGTTTTCTTTCTAGCATTGTTCTTTCTAGCCAGGTTATCATTCCAACCTCCAACACAAAGAAATAATGTATTTTCGCCTTCCTTTTAAGATGAGTCAGTGTGAATCAGAGGTCTGATCTGTGTTCAGTGATTGTGTTTGAAAGGTGATTGGCAGGCCAAGTGTGTGTCAGTCAGGTCGCTCCGAGTGCACACGTCAATCAGAGATCAGCCACGGCATGATAACATGACCACAGAAAGATGAGTTTTCACACACAGAAACCATCGA